TGTGTATTACGGTACACATGCGTCGTAAACAGACGTGTGTATTACTGACGCCTACACGTAATACCCACGTCTGTTTATCGCGATCTGTACGCCAATGATACATACTATACTACATGCCGTAATACGATATCCGTCGACTCGGGCCATTCTAGAATTGCAGCGCTGATACAAGCCCCCCCCGTTTTTCCACTCCTCCAAGCAACCTTCACTTGTGACAAATAATGCGCATTTGCTACGTCCTGGCCGTAGCTGCAGCTGCCTTTCATGTCCATAGCGACACTGTGTCGGCATTGACGGATTTGAACCATAACCACGTTGCTACCGACAATTCGGTACTCTCCGTCGACACTGCTCAGACTACCGGTGCTAACAAGCGATCACTACGTACGATTGATGCTAAAGTCATCACAAAGGTGGTCAAGGTTCCCAAAACCATTACGATTGATGAGCTGTTTAACATCCAGAAGCTCGACGAGGCCCTCGACCCGAAGCGCGCGGACGATATTCTCGCCAAGAAACCTCTTGGCGGTTGGCTTGACAAGAACACGCTCGATGAAGCCCTCAAAGGAAATTTCATGCAAAAGAAGACAATGTTCGAAAAATGGCACAAGGACAAAAGAACCTCAAGATTGGTTACCCGACTGATCCAGTCTGACCCAGCCATTGAGAAGAAGTACAGGGTTGTTTACAAGCTGTATGCTGAATATCTCAAGATGATCTACCGCAAAGAGAACATGGCGAAGCGACTTGCTGCCAACAACTGAAGATAGGTCGACGGTTAGAAAGCTGCAAGCATCATCGCTTTGCCCAAACTAATGTTGCCAACTCAAAACTTGAATATAGTTACTTGAGAACTTAATCTACATGTACACCTGTTGTATAAGATTTACGCTGTATTGTCGTACCCAATATAATGGGTTGGGAAGTTGACAAGAGTAATACTCTTTATAAATTCAATTTTAGTGACATAAGAGGATAGTGACCAAGGCTACCGAGTGCAAAACGTAAAATAGCAGTACTCGCCAATATGAGTATAGCCCGCCCTACTTTTCTTGGCGAATCAATTCTGCAATGCACTCCGCTTATGTCAGCAACATACAAACATTTATATAAAAACGAACTCCTATGCATCTTTTCAGTGTGTTCCCCTCAGCTATGTAGCAGTAGCGCAGAATCATGAAGTTGAGGGTGTACAGACCAGCATAAGACACTGATTTAGCAGCCCGCGGTTAGACAACATTTATCACAGCCAACATATTAGCAAGCAGTACGCTGGTGCTAGGACCCAATGGACTGAGCTAGTTAGCTACGGTCCTCTGGTAGTCTATAGTTCCTGCTAGTCCAACTGGCCATAGTTTCTATCTGTAGCTCGTGAACTCAACTTTGGTTGTCTTTGCAGATTCGACCCTTGCTTCTGCATACATGTCGCTGCAGGGCCGGCAACATGACATGGCTCTATCGACTGAGTACAAGCGCTCAGATCATTCCTTCATAGTCTGGTGCCTTCCAGAGCAGAGCAGCCAACAGTGCACTACTGTTTCTGTCGCAATTTTCAGTTTCTCTATACTGCTCTTGGCGGGACAAATTACTGCTCGATCCCACGGAACCTCTTACTGGTACTGTCGGAGATATTACTGGTGTTGTCAATTGAGTTGGAATCTATACTACTCTTTGTCAAATCCCCATGGTGGGCTTTCTCTCCTGAACCTGCGTAAGGTGTCATTTCAGCTTATATCAGATATGGCACCCATACTTTACTCAAGTAGATTCGCGATGTATATCTGATGTCTCATACTTACATGAAGTACACAAGTAATGGCACCATGGTGAATGTTGCTTGTGGCGGGCAAGCGTAACATCACGGTAAATTACGCCTCGTTGAAGTAGAGCTTACTCTTCCTGAAACAACATCCGAATAGTAGCCCGTACAGTCACTTATCTATCTATTTATATTGAATTACACCTAACCCTATAAAACATTATTTTCGTGCCCCCAGACGTTGTTTCGGTACGAGGAAGCACCAACTCTGTATTAGGAATTTGTATGTGCTCGAACAACATTGTGAGGTTGCTTGGTGTTATTTGACCAATCAGCATCACGATTTTTTGACACATTTTTTTCACAAGATCCTTATTTTAAAACTTTTGTCGTGGGTTTTTATTAGAGAGTGAAGATTCATACTGAAAAGTACGAGTCATACGGAAAAGTACGCGT